ATACTCTCGAGTACTTATGTATGCGGATGATGTTAAACTCTGTGTCCAGTACAAGGACATTTCATTTCATTCTCGCTTGCAATCCGATCTCAATAGCTTTCAGTCATGGTGTTGTGCAAACTTGTTACACCTTAATGCCTTGAAATGCAAAGTTATGACATTTCATCGTTGTAGCCCTTTGTTGGCACCCACCCTATTTGGGGGTTCTCTTGAGAGAATTACCCTGGTGGATGATCTGGGTGTTATGTTAGACCCCAAGTTAAAGTTTTCCGAACACATTTCTACCATGGTAAATAAGGCCATGGGCGTGCTTGGGTTTATAAAGAGGTGGTCAAAGGAATTTGACGACCGACACTCGATGTCAAATACATGGGTTTGCAGATGCGTCCACGCGATCATACGGCTGCTGCATCTACGTTCGTGTGTCCCATTCAAATGGAGTGTCCGTTAACTTATTAACGGCAAAGTCAAGGGTGGCACCCTTAAAGACAAAAACAATCCCAAGATTGGAGCTATGTGCCGCTCATCTGTTGGCAAAGTTGTGGGAGGAAGTTCGATCTATTATTGATTGCCCCGTAGAGAAGGTTATATTGTGGTCAGATTCGGAAGTGGTTCTACATTGGCTGCAAACTCATCCCTCCCAGTTAACAACATTTGTTTCAAATCGAGTTGCAGAGATACAGGAAATCACTTCGACTGCCTCATGGAGACATGTACCCACCAAAGAAAATCCTGCAGATCCAGTATCTCGGGGATCATCAGTAGCAGACTTAGATTCACTATTTTGGTTTAACGGCCCGTCATTCCTGCAACAAAATGCCATGGATTGGCCTCAAAATCGTCATTTACGTTTGACAGAAGCGGACGCGTCATTAGAGAAGAAGAAGGTAGCCACTTCGCTTGTCGCGGCCGATGGCGAACACAATCCCATCCTCACCCTAATAGAAAACTCATCATCATATATGAAAGTGGTAGGCACAATTGCATATATCCGCCGGTTCATAAACAAAAGGAAAGGAGTAATTTGGAGTAGTACTTGTCCGTCATCAGAAGAGCTCGGCGCAGCGTTTCTAGCAGCAGTTGAAGCTGTTCAAAGAGACGCATTCTCGCAGGAGATTGACAAAATAAAAAAGTCATCAAAGTTGCAGGCATCACTTCAAAAACTAACTCCCTTCATTTCGGAAGAACAAGTGGGCTCATGCTCGTTTTCGTTGGTTCGAGTAGGTGGTCGCCTATTAAACGCTCCTCTAGCCCATAACGCAAAATTTCCACTGTTAATGCCAAAAAATTGTAGATTTGATACCCTCTATCCTAGCTATTTGCATCGAGCCAATTGTCACGCTGGACCCCGTGCACTAGTGGGATTCCTAAGACAGTCCATGTGGCTGACAAATGCACGAAGAGAGTGCAGTGCCATTGTCCGGAAATGCGTACACTGTTTCCACTACAAGCCGAAGCTTCTCTCACAAATCATGGGAAATCTTCCCGCTGATCGATTGCGTGGGAATCGACCCTTCGAGATTAGCGGAGTTGATTTGTTTGGACCGGTTCGTGTATCGCTTGGGATTCGTGGCAAGCAGCCTCTTAAGATGTACATAGCAGTGTTTGTCTGCTTTGCATCTAAGGCCGTACACCTAGATATTGTAAAAGACTTGACCTCTAATACATTTATTTTGTGCTTATCCAGGTTTGTTGGACGTCGTGGGCCTCTTGTCAAACTCTATTGCGACAACGCCACGAATTTTGTTGGTGCAGCTCGCATGCTCAAGGAGCGCATGGATGCACTCAATGCCAAGGACGAAGACCTCAAGGCGTATGCTGCGGCTCACAGTTTTTCGGTGGAATTCATTGCCCCGCGAGCCCCGCACATTGGAGGCCTGTGGGAGTCGGCGGTGAAGTCCGCCAAGAATCTGCTGCTCAGGGCTATGGGCAGCGCAGTGCTCAAGGAGGACGAGCTGCATACGGTTCTCGTGGACGTCGAGGCCGTGCTCAATTCCAGACCACTGGTGGTCGACAGCGGCAGCCCCAACGAAGGGGAGGTGGTGACTCCAGCGCATCTACTAGTCGGCAGAACGCTAGTTTCGCTGCCACCCGAATCAGAGCTGCCCAGACCAGACAGCAGCCTCTCATATCTGCAACGATGGCAGCTCGTGTCTGCCATCAAGCAAAGATTTTGGAAAGATTGGTCCAGAGACTATCTTCTCAGCCTTCAACAGCGAGGGAAGTGGTCCGAGGAGGTCGCCAACTTGGAGCCAGGCAGAGTGGTGGCAATTCACGAGGACAACGTGCCCCCTCAAATGTGGCTCACCGGAATAGTGGAGGAGGCAATCCCAGGAGCGGACGGGAAGGTTCGCGTGGCCGTGATTAGGACGAAGGCCGGGGTCTACAAGCGATCGATCCATCGTTTGGCGCCTATTCCATTGGATTGAAGCCTATAGGCTGTCAACGCGGCCGATGTTAAGGCAAATCAGTTGCCTGCATATATATATATAGCTATAATTATACCTAAGAGACATGTATGAAATCACGCTCTTAAATTGTAATGTCATGCGCTCTTATACCATGTTGCGGACGGAGCCTATGCAAGCAGCAGCCGCTCATGAAGAGGGCGCCGCTTTAGAATAAACTCACTTATAATTGAAAGTCGATTGAGTGCACAAGTTGATCTGTCGGTCTGTCTGATTCCAGTGTCTAATTAAACCTTCAGAAATCGTGCCTAACGGCAGGCTAATTTGCACAACCAGTCGTTTTAACGATTTCAAACTAAAGTTTATACTCATTTTTATTTCCGAAAATCATTATCGTCTTGAAAGATGGGATCTTCTTCTCTCTCAGTAACTGATTCTATACTGGACAAAACTCCAATGCGAATAATTTCTTCATACTTTTTTTAATTTAACAAGCCCTTAATCATAATTTGCGATTCAGTTTTATATTTAGATATGTATCCATATATCATACAAGGCGTCACGGTGGCAATGCAGCAATTTTCGGAATAGCGTTCGCCTCTTCTGTGGCGAACTGTACGCGAACCATCGGGTACAATAAGATTACATTTTGACTCATCCGAGAGTACGATTCGTGACCACTCAGATTCACTCCAATTTGAAATTTCATTAGACGAATTTAATCGAGGTTTCTTCATTCAACTATGCAGAAGTGGCTTTTTGCCAGGTGTCCTTGTTATTAAGGACGCTACAGTTCTGAAGCTATTTTAACATAATTTTTAAACCGATCCTGAAGCTCGTTTAATAATAACACGATCTTTCCTTATCCAATTGCTAAGATTGGTACCACAAAATATTAATTAATTACCAATTTTAAAAAATCTTTTGAATTAGGCATATTAAATGTAGTTTTGATTGTAAAAAGTTTTTTTTTTAATTTAATTTAATTTTTGCTTCCACTGGGTAAAAATTACCGTAAAAGTGTTAAAAACGTGTGGTTTTCAAAATAATTTGTCTCTTAGTATATGACTATGATGTAAAAAATAATTAGTATAAACTTTGGTTTGAAATTATTAAAGCTACATCAAAGGAGGGGGAACGTTGTGAGTTGCTGCGCCGACCGCAACTCTACATTTATACCCGATACATACATAGTCAGTATGGCTACATTGAGCGACAATGTGTGCGTGCGGGAGAGACAGAAAACGGTTCTGAACATGTCGACGGGCGCTGCGTAGCCACTGCAAATTAATTTTTTCCTTTTGTTCCATTTGGCTATGAAAATGATCCGATCTGATCCATATTCAGCAGTCTCATAGAAACGGTCATTCTCAATGATTGTATGTTTTTAGTTTTCTCGTATCTTCAATATTGTGGATGCCACAGATTTTCGTTCTTTTTGTGGGCGGAAGGGGGTGGGTCGAAATTCTGAGATATACTTTTTATAGTGAGATCTAACAGGAGTGTGGATACCTCCAGATTTTCGTCCTTTGCGGGGGCGAAAGAGTGTGTGACGAAATTTTGAAACAAGCTCGTCAAGGTCTGATATCTCAGTAGTAGATATCTCTTATAGTCTCTGAGATCTAGGCGCTAATGTTTTACGCTAAGCAAAGCCGGCTATGATACGTGTGTGTTAGCGAGAGACAGGGCGAGAATAAATGAAAATCTATCCTTTATTCTGGCTATAATAATGATACGATCCAATTCAGATTCTGCAGTCTAAAAGATATGGTCATACATACTGCGTTTTTCGTATCTTTAAAATTGTGGATGCCACAGATTTTCGTCCTTTGTGGGGGCGGAAGTGGGCGGGGCGAATTTTTGAAATATTCTTGTAACAGTGACATATCACAGAAGTCTAGATACAAAACGTCGTTACTCTAGCTCTTATAGTCTTTGAGCACTAGGCGCTAATAGGGACGGACAGACAGACAGGGCTCAATCGACACAGCTATTGATGCTGATCAAGAATATATATACTTTATGGGGTCGGAAACGTTTCCTTTTGGACGTTACACACATCCACTTTTACCACAAATCTAATATACCCCAATACTCATTTTGAGTATCGGGTACAAAAATAAAAACTAAAGAAATCGGATAACATTTGGCGAAGTCAAACACGGTTTTCATGTTTCGGTTTGAATTCAGTTATTTTAGATATTATATTCAAGCTTACACTCATCTATATACACATATAAAAGAAATTCGTCGCGGCATTTTTTGTTTAAATTCGGTTATTTAATATCATAGTAAAGCTTACACTCATCTTATATTACACTGATATTTAGCGTATCGTGGGGATATTTAATATCAATATGACGAAAAAATAATGAGTAGAGGCAAAACATGAGTTTTAAAACGTTCCCATCCCCAAAAAACGGCCAATTAAAAACCTGTAATCATGTGCACAATAATTTGGTAGATTCAAAAGATTCATAGATTTGCAGTATTTATTATAGGGAATAATAGCTCATTAAATAATTTAAGTGCAAAGATTTTACAATTTTACTATATTTTTATATTGCAAGCATGGTAGTTTAGTTTTTTATGTAAAAAAAAAAAAACGAATATACTGTTGAATCTTGCAGAGACATAATAATATACATGGACATAATACCTAATTATTTTAAGAATAATTTTTGGAGAATAATAAACGGCTATAGTACAAAAAATAGATATGAAGAAAAGACAAAATACTACTTGCTAGACAGGAATGATTTGTTCATCTCTTATTATGCGCTTGATTTAGTATTATTTCAGTATTATTTTTAAAAATTGTTGGCTGAAAGTCGCGAAAAAAATAATTTATATGTAATCATAATTTATTAAAGTTCCAATTATATATTCCAGAGGCTGTCATAATAAAACTAAATTTAAGTTACAATTAGCCCCATTTCTTTTTTTATGTGAACTGAATTTTAAAAAACAGTTTACGGCTCTAATTTTGCTCGCAACGATTCACGTTTTCGGGCATTGGACATCTGTCTACTATTATTAGCGATACTGTGGTTAAACTGCACCAAACGCGGTTTCTCTTGAGATACAGCAGCAGCAGCTTGGTTCTTGGGACCAACCATAAAGAAAGTATGCACCCGAGGTTTATTATACTTCACGGGTATTCTATCAAATATCGTATTATTTTGTGGTTCATTAACTGCGTCATATTTTGGCGTACTGGGATGCCAGCTAGTGCTATTTGGTCGGAGCCTGGCAGGGATCATATGGGCCTTCAGCTCCAGTTCCTTTGTATTAAATACCTCACAGTCCACCTGCATTAACATAATGTCGCCGTTGCTTGTAGGATCGCCTGTAGGCAATAGTAATGACATTTTGGGTCGCTCAGTTTTATTATAATTGGATGCTGGAAGAAGTATGTGATCAGTGTTGAAAGAAAGCACATAAAATGTATCATCTTTTCTTTTTATGCCATTAAACAATGGTATGTGTTCATTTTTATTGTTAAATGCTCTATTTATAGTAGAATCTATTTTCCTGCGTCGTTTATCCTCAACATCTGGATTATAATCGTTTACATCCATGTAAATTTTACGTTTTCCCTGGTGTTGACTGTGAACTTCAGGTTTCAACTCAATGTAGTCTTTCGATATTTTAAACCCGTGTGGGTTGTTTTTCTCATTAGTAAAATCTGAAGACATGTTTAAATTAAAAAAGTCATTTCTGTTAGCCCATTTATGTAGATTCTGGGCCAGTCGGAAATAGTCAGATTGGTTGACTGCAGAGTTAGAAGAGTTGCAATCACCATTGTTCTTTTTTATAGACGAGTACGCCAGCGGTGGCGGTTCGTTACCCAAATAGTTTCTTGATGAATTTTTGGTATTTTTTTTATCAAAGCCAACAGTAATGTTGCGCCTAACCGGATTTAAAAAATGCAGAGGTGGAACGGACATTTCATCCGATTGACTCTTATTCTGGTTAATTTTGTCGTTATATTCTTCTTCAGTTTCCACCCAAAGTAGACGACGACCAACAGCCGTAGCGTCCGGCACAACAATATCTAACTTTCCACCATCGTCATGAACGCTTTGCTTGGTAAGAAATGACTGAAAATTTCCAGCATTCATAGTTACCATAAAAGCCATAGCAAATAACACAGCAACATTTTTTTTTATACTGGCTGCATTGATTTTCCGGTTTGAAAATTTCGGCTTAGATGCGATCTTTATGTGGTGTGGTTCGCTCCTGGCCGCAGAACTTAAAGAATGGAGTAAAATTTCACTTGTGTTTCCGGTGTGACATTTGCATGTATTGGCAAACGTGACTAATTGGGTGCGCAATGTTGTGTTATCCTGTATGAAAAAGAAGAATAACAACTATCAAATTAAATCCGAACATTTACTTCTAATACAATTGGATTGTTAATTTTGTTTAGCAGATACATGATTTTTACTAGATTATGCCACAGAAAATAAGTACTTTCATTGGAATTACCATGAAATATTGTTTATTAGAACAGAGTATGGATCGGGTCACTAAAACTAAAACTCAAACGAGGGGGAATGTTGTGAGTTGCTGCGGAGACCGCAACTCTACATTTATACCCGATACTTAGTCAGTATGGCTCTCCTCCAGCAGACGCCGCGAATATTAAAAGACAAGACAGAGTGCGTGCGAGGGAGACAGAAAATTAGTCTGAGCGAGGCGTCGGGCGCTGCGTAGCCACTGCAAATAGATTTGTTCCTTTTGGCTATAAACATGATCCGATCTGATCCAGATCAGCAACCGGATAGATATGGTCATTCTCTATAATTGTACGTTTTAGTTTTCTCGAAACTGCAATATTGTGAATGCAACAGATTTTCGTTCTTTTTGTGGGCGGAAGGGGGTGGGTCGAAATTCTGAGATATACTTTTTATAGTGAGATCTAACAGGAGTGTGGATACCTCCAGATTTTCGTCCTTTGCGGGGGCGAAAGAGTGTGTGACGAAATTTTGAAACAAGCTCGTCAAGGTCTGATATCTCAGTAGTAGATATCTCTTATAGTCTCTGAGATCTAGGCGCTAATGTTTTACGCTAAGCAAAGCCGGCTATGATACGTGTGTGTTAGCGAGAGACAGGACAGATTTGTGGATACCCCCAGATTTTCGTCCTTTGCGGGGGCGGAAGGGGGTGTGGCGAAGTTTTGAGACCAAACGGTCAAGGTCCGATATCGCAGGAGTGTGAATACCAAATTTGGTTGCTCTGGCTCTTATAGGTTCTGAGATCCTCGAGCTCATAATTTGCAATTGGCAAAACCGACCATGAAAGAGAGACAGAGCGAGAAAGAATGAAATTGTTTTCTTGATTCTGGCTATAATAATTATACGATCTGGTTCAGATTTTGCACTCTAGAAGATATAGTCATCCTCTACGATTCCTCTACGATGCCACAGATTTTCGCCCTTTGTGGGGGCGGAAGTGGGCGAGGCAAAGTTTTGAAACATTCTTGTAGCTGTGACATATCACAGAATTCTGGATCCAAAACATCGTTGCTCTAGCTCTTATAGTCTTTGAGCACTAGGAGCTGAAGGGGACGGACAAACGGTCAGACGGACAGACAGACATGGCTCAATCGACTCGGCTATTGATGCTGATCAATGGGGTCGGAAACGATTCCTTCTGGACGTTACACACATCCACTTTTACCACAAATCTAATATACCCCAATACTCATTTTGAGTATCGGGTATAATAAATACAAATAGCTTAAAAGCTTAAATTAATTAAATATTTTTTAACTAACAGCAGCTTCAAGTAGAGAGTATTTACCACACCCCATTAAGAATTGTCATAGTCAGTTGTGGCTTAGAGAGATCTCGACAGATTTTAGCTTGAGATATTTTCCAAATCGATCAAATAAAAATCTAGGGGGACACCGATTACCTAGAGAGCAACAATGCGAATTGTAACACAGAGTTATAACAAAGACAATATGTTTTTTTGAAAAGACGAAATACACGCCGCCTTGCTCTCACGAACTCGAAAGAGAATACAGATCTAAAAATATAATAAGCTTTCATTTATGAGTACGCATTAACATGTTTGTTAAAACATCTTTTTGATTTTTTGGATGACAAAATATGTTAATAATATACTTGTAGCAGTGACGGATTTGAAATGTAGTTGCTCTAGCTCTTATAGTCTTTGAGCACTAGGCGCTGATAGGGACGGACAGACAGACAGGGCTCAATCGACTCGGCTATTGATGCTGATCAAGAATATATATACTTTATGGGGTCGGAAACGATTCCTTCTGGACGTTACACACATCCATTTTCACCACAAATCTAATATACCCCAATACTCATTTTGAGCATCGGGTATAAAAATTGAGTAAGCGTCTCGATGCCGAGAAAATTTCACTCTCTCCTTCGTTCTGCATATATGATTCTATTAGATGGTCTTTAAAAATATCTAAAATAATCCAGTCTGAAACGACTCTCCTAATTAGATATTGCTTTTGTCTGGCAATTGAAACGAAAGTCGTAGTGTTACTTGTATATCCTTTAAGTAGATTAGGCGTAGTTCTTGTTTAGTCTTCGTTATGATGACGACCGTAAAGAAGCCAGTGTATCGTTTGTGCATGAAAGACTACACTTACTTTTTAATCCGTACTGAAAGAGAGAGATACGAGAGAATTTCCTGGGAACATGTGTTCGACATTTCAGGAAAAATAATGATCGAAACAATTTCAAATAGGATAAAATATGTCATAATGTCTTTGCAAACGGTAAGGAAAAAGAAAATACAAAATCCCAGTTAAGAATCAATCTGCTCTTTCCGAACGAAGGCCAATCGCAAGCTGAAATTGGGGAAATCACAAAAAGCATCGATCGGATCAATAGAAGAGCTTCACAATTTAAAGTTTGAAATTTGGCGATCATTAATGGTATTTCGTGTCTGAATGTTGGACACATGTTGTGTTCTACACAAATTGTGAAAGAAAGTGACCATATAGCCAAATTACAAAAACATAGGCTCATTAAAAAGTGGAAGTTTCCTAAAAATTTTTCCGTTCAAAAAATTGTACAAAATATTGCAATAAAGTTAAGCTTATTAAAATGACCTAATCTTATAGAAAATTTGTCGGATAAAATTGAAAAAAAAAAGCATACAAGCATATTTTTACGGATAGTTAAGGTTGTGAATGAAAATACTTAATCTGTTATTGTAAGATAATTTTACATTCTTATAACAACGAACGAGTTTCAAGCGAAGATAATATTTTTAAATACATTTCCGCCATATTAGATTCGTGTTCAGCGCACCGACATGCATGGGGATATGCTACACTGATCAGCCGCGCACGATATCTTACTTTTTATTCACATACATTATTTAATTGCTACGCTCTAAATTTAAAATATTATATATTTAGCTAATAGTAAAGCGAGTCTTACTTACTCCTTTTAGCGTATAGTTTTCTCGTTCAAGTTTGGTTATTCGAGTCTCCAATGACACAACATACTCCTTCTTTTTTTTACGGGATAAGGAGGCAGATTCCCGATTCTTAATCATACGCTGCTGTTTTTTATATATCTTTTCATCTATTGATACGCTATTAGAGATTTCCGTTTTTATGCCACCTCGTATATGTATGCCCCCATTATGACACATTCGATCTACAGAGTGTGGCCCCCCCTGATGGTGTTTTATTTCACCGCACAGAGCTTTTGATGTTTTTGAATTGTCTGGTTTTTTAATCATATTAGAAATTTGCGTGTTACAGCCGCCAACTGTAACATTTTTTTTCCCGTTCAAGTTTATCTTTTGCATAAGCGCTTTGTAGTCATGAGAAGAGAGAAATATTGTCTTAGGTTTGACAGCATTTGCCGTGGAACCTTTGACAAGTTCAGCCGACGAAGAATTTTGTGTTCGTGAATCCATGCATGCTTCAATATTAATTGGCTCAATGTTGGCGACTGTTGAGCCAAATTGCCCAATGTTAGCTGTAATCGAATTAAATTTAGTTTTTTGCTGTTTATCGATTGCAGATGAAATATTTGATTCAGAAATACAGAATTCATTTCTACTGGTCCGATCACTTATTGTGTTCAAGTTGTGTACAGCCTGCATGGCTGACTCAACGTCAATATGGTCGAGAGGTTTATTGTGTGATGCATCAGATATATCGCTCTGTACTCCACTTGTCGAGCTACCGCTAGAGCTACTACAACTTCCTGTGGGAGACGGTGTATTACGTTCTTTCGAATACCGTAATATATTATCGCATCTGAACTTAGAAACGCTATCATCATTAAGAAAGCTAATAAAATCTTCGAAATTTTCCGGGTCCTCGGCAGACGATGTGGAAGCAGTTCTTTTCGCAGAGGAAAGATGCGTAGGGAACGGCGAGAGTGTGTCCAAATTATAATCTAAATCATGGCTTTGCTGATATGATCCGTGATACATGCCAGAAAATATATCATTGTGAACTTCAGGTATCAATGCACTCAAATCCAGCGAAGAATCAATAGGCGGTACTGATGAGTTTAACATATCGTCCAAAACACTGTTATTAAGCTCATAATCAATCGGTGATGGACCCATCAACGATAAACCAGCTAAAAGAGTAAATAAAATGTTTTATTTTTCGTACGAAAAATCAAAAAAGTAAAAATAAAATGTCACTATGGATAATGATTGATGAAAGATTTTTTTATGAGTTGATGTAACAGAGTGCGTATATCGACTTCTATGCTATCTTTCTCTTCAATTTTAAAGCTGCTGCCCTTAAGAGTAATCGTCCTTTCAGCTTTCTTGTAGCTATCGTGTACATATCGAGGGAGTCAGAGCGAATTCTAACTGAGTTTGAATTGTGTCAAACATACGACCTTGGCTGTTTCGTGCTATATACTAAGTGCTGCAAAAAGGGACACAGAACTGAGCCAGTAGTTTGTTTTGAAACTAACAGACGCTGTTAGTTGAACATGTTTGTTTCCGCTTTTTTGTCATTGTGTGTTCATCTGAATATAATCAAAAAATTAAAGCACTGAATATGGTGGACCAATTTGATCATGGAACTTGGAAGAATACCATCAAGAGGAATAGATCTTCAATATATGTATACTGTGGATTATGGAACATGGGCGGGAATCTAAGGTATTTTTCTTGAAAATGTTTGGAAATCATCACTTGTTTTTATATACATCTGTATATAGAAGTGTATGTTCCTATATTATGTATACATGTATTTAAGGACACGGATATGTAAACATAAACTTAACCTTAATGAAATCACTTCACGGAAATTGTCAAACTTACAGTAAAAACATTCATTATCGTCCATGATATTATATTTAAATGGGATCAGGCGGCGTTTAAATTTGTTTCAAACATATCAAGTTTGTCGACGAAAGCAAAAAAAAGTAGTGATGCAAGAATTACTTGTTTAAAATGTAGAAAAATATCGATACTGCCACTATTGTGAGTTCAGCTATCTAGCTATAGCCTCTGCACACTGAACACATCCCTGGGGAACGGTGGGATTTTTTAACATATGCACCGATTAACACTCTATCTGTCAAAAACCAGCTGATGAAAATAAAATAAAGTTTTGGTCTGGTGGAATTTCAACAAGTTTAAATTCATAAATTGGATATTATAAAAAGATTTATCTATATACAATCCTATCCTATCAAAGAATGACAAAATTGTTTGAAAATAAAAATAATTAATAAATAAATAAAAATAAGAAACAGCAGTCGAAAGTAGCGTGCGACTTAACAGCCTTAGCCATGTGATCTGGATTGCAAGGAGGTTATACAAAATACTGCTGCTTCCTGAGCCTTGCGAAGTCCAAGACATTATATACCCCCATTGCACATGAAGACGGGACTGATACAGAATTTTTTTAAAGCACCGGAAAAGAAAGATGAATCGATTAGATACCTAAAAACAGTTTTCACTTCTGTCGCTGTAAAAAGTAAAAAGGCCCCGAAATTCGACTACTACTAAAAATGATGTAATTGTTCATTCTCTTTCGTTGTGACCAGACGTGTTTTTGTTTGCTGCGCTCCGATTTTTTTCTTTTTGTTGTTCATAAATAGCCGGTGTTTATGAAAAAAAAAAACTTTAAATTACTCTCTAACCAGCCCAAAATCTGAAAATCTATATTATTTCGCGAATGCATGCATCTTTTAATACAACATCAAACAATAAACGCTAGACCCTGACAGCGGAGAATCTTTTACTTATAAATTTTGGAGTCAGAGTTGTCGAAAAAGCTCGGCAGTTTCCAACAACTTGGTGACCCCGACGTGATCGCGGTGACTTGTCGTGTGTTAAATGTGTTTCATGCAGTTCGATAAATTCGAAGGAAAAACGTGACATTTGCCAATAAGTAGCGAACCAAAGATCGTTATGGCCGACCGTGGCAGTTCTAGCGACCCGCTATTCGTTTTTGCTTCTCTTTCGCCGTCTGCTTTGCCTGCGCAGAGCACTGTCGAGACCAGTTACATAGAGTACTAGGCGTTGTTCGTTAGTTTTCTTCGCCTAATCTTTCGCCGTTTGCTTCAGCAAGCTCTCCTGACTGGCTGCACATATCTCTATCTCGAATTCGAGCTCGAAACAGTTCAAAAAATCTCTGTCGTTCGTTTGTGCATAACTGTTGGTTCTTTTCTGATCGCCGCTTCGTTGCTTTGCCGGCGCATACATTTTGGACATACACAAATAAAAAGTGCTGCAAAAGTGAACATTGTAAACTGGTCTGCACTCTCGCGTTGCCTCGTTTTTAACTAACTGTGATCGACTCAAACACTCCGCGTCAACAGTTAAAAACGTAAACAATGCGAAAAGGAAAAATAATAGAAGGTGTGGATCATTGGCTATGGGCAATAATAGTGATACTCTGATAGTTGGTGATGCTCCATCTAGTGATTCCCTGCATCGCGGATTTCCTAGAGCCATTTTCGACAGGCTAGAGTCCATACGCACAGAGATGGATCGCGAAAAGCAACGCCAAATGGATGATTATGATTTGCGAGGATTGTTGGAATCATTGACGAAGCTGCAATCTAATTTTATTGTGAGGAAGTGGATTTTGAGTCTATGTCCAGTGAAATACCAGGAAAATTTGACTCGTCCATCTTATCATTGAGGACCATTCTACAGCGTGAGTTGGGCAATCGTTCGCCGCCCACGCATTGTTCCACGTTTCAAATGAACCCAAGTGAATCCCAATCCATTATGTACATGGCCAATCGATAGCGCATGACATAGCTGTAGCTGCCCAAGTTCAGCGGAGAAAATACAGAGTGGACAAGCTTCTATTCCATGTTCACAGTTGTTATTGATGGTGAAGCTGATCTGACTTCTATCGAGAAAATACAGTATTTGCGGTCTTGTTTGAGCGGAGCGGCGTCGGACACCATTAGTTCCTTGGAAATGAGCGAGGCTAATTATAATACCGCATTAGATATTCTCAAAAAACGATTTGCTAATAATCGTCTCATTCTACAGGCACAAATTCGAGAAATATTAGGGCTGGCGCGTGGGGACTCAGCTGTTGTTCAGCTGCGGGTGTTTACGGACGCCACCACCTCACATCTTCGCGCGTTGGAAACGTTGGCAACTAAGGAGGAAATAGCTGATTACATCATCGTTTACGCACTCTGGAAGAATTAGGACAATTAAAGTTAATTGGCGAGCAGCTTGCCAATCGAAGCACCACACTTTTCTGCATTTCCTTCGTCCAACAGCGACATTCCATACTGTTTCTCCAATTGCGCCACAGCCCTCCTCGCCGCAAGCTCATATAGCCCAGCGTCCGTCTGAGCCTGTTCTATTAGCCACCGTCGTCGTTCTCGTTAAAAACAGCGCTAGAACTTGCATGCCATTGTTGGACTCGGGCTCGCAATTGCATTTCGTAACTACTCGTCTAGCTAATTAGCTTCAACTGCGAAAAACCAAGCTGCTTACTGCAGTCTCTGGCATAGCAGATTCTAGCTTCTCAACTGAAGGTATCTCGGTGGATCTCGTTCTGAAATCGCGGATTTCAGATGTCACCACTAGCATCACTGCTGTCGTTGCCCAGAAGATTACGGACAGTCAACCTCGCATCTCAATTAGCACTGCTAATTGGCCTATACCTTTGAATATCCAGCTTGCTGACCCTTCGTTTCATAAGCCGCAGCGGATTGATCTGCTCATCGGAGCCTTACTTTTCTTTGAGTTGCTGTGTGTGGGACAAATTCAGCTGGCAGCTGGATTACCCTTGCTACAGAAGACACATCTCGGATGGATGCTATCTGATGGCGGGCACTCGGACCCCAACTCCTCGCCGCAACCCAATCTTCGGATGACACGAATCACAGCACTCGGGTCGATGGCTTGGTTCGTCAATTTTGGGAAGTGGAGCACATCTTTGAGCCAATCGCTACGGCAACAAAGGAGGAAGTTCACTGCGAGGAACACTTCGTCAACCATCAAACTCGCTTACCCTCAGGGGAATACTCTGTTCGCTTGCCTATGAAGCGAAGTTTAGAGTCCTTGGGAGATTCCTATTTGAAAGCAAAGCGGCGCTTGGAAAACTTGGAGCGCAAGTTCGTGCGTAATCCAGCTCTTCATGAAAAATATTCGGCATTTATGAAGGAGTACCCGACCCTCGATCATATGTCTCTGGTGCCTTATGATGATAGGCACAAGTGCAAATATTTCTTGCCACATCATTGCGTCATCAAAGGGGACAGCTCCACAACAAAGCTGAGGGTTGTATTCGACGGCTCTGCAGCTACCACATATGGTCTTTCGTTAAATGATCTGCTTCTGTCTGGATCCACCATTCAAGCCAATCTATTTCACACACTCATCTGTTTTCGTACTTTTGCCATTGCTCTTACAGGTGCATATTGTCGAGGGACTCTCTTGACGACGACATACAGACCTTCTAATTAAACACAGTTACCTATGGAACTAAGCCTGCATCATTCTTAGCTATTCGAGCTATGCATCAGCTAGCCATGGATGAGTCGTCTTCGTACCCTTTGGGGTCGGAAACCATTCTACAGGACTTCTACGTAGACGACATGATATCTGGAGGCAATTCGGTCGAGGAAGTGATAGATATTATGTCCAATATTACGTCCAATCACGGATCTTCTTGCTCGAGGGAACTTTCAATCGCGGAAATGGTGTTCCAACTCCCCTGGTGTGCTTCGTAAAGTCCCAGAAGCCGAAAGGGAAAGTTTTCTGAAGCTGTATGATGACAGTGATGTAACCAAAGCGCTTGGGCTCATTTGGGAGCCCCATAAGGACAACTTTTTGTTTACATTTGCTCCTCAAATCGGTGTTGGCAAGCACACTAAGCGTTCGGTGTTGTCAAGCATTGCACGGTGCTATGATCCCATGGGTTTGACCGGACCTACATTGACAAGAGCAAAAAAAATCATGCAGCGCATGTGGAGGGACAAGCTGTTTTGGGATGAAAGTGTTCCTCGGCCTGGACTGAGGTTTGAAAGGATTTCGCTACTGTGGGTCACGCTACATTTCCTCGCTACGTACTTCAACCTAAGACCCGATTTGAATTGCAATGCTCCTGTGATGCCAGCTTCCAGGGCTATGTATGCTCGTTCGTTTATGGATACCGCCGCTGAGGTTCATCTGTCTTGTTCGAAGGTTAGGGTTGTCACACTGAAAATACTTACGGGGCCTAAGCTTGAACTATGCGCAGCGTTCAAATTGCGCCAATTTGCTTCGCGAAATCAGGAAAATGGATACCTTCGACTGCCCAATCATTTGTTGGGCGGATTCAACTGTGGTCCTGTCTTGGCTACGTGAGGAACCATCCAAATTAAACGTTTTTGTCTCTAACAAGATCTCGGTCATAAAACAAACTACCAGGGGCATGTATTGGCGCTATATGGACGTTGACATGCAATGACTGCATCTATCAAGAGGCGATGCAATTACTGCACCGTCAAGTGGCCCGTGTAACACCAGCAGAAGGCTGTTACGCGCGGATCCCAGGCAAAACGCAGCCCTCCTCCCGCCCAACCGACCGAGGGGCGCTGCCGCATGACGCGCGGTGCGTAGCCGAACCAAACGCGAGCATGCAAGAAAGATAGATATTAGACTAACATTCGAGGAAAATTAGCACTAAACTTATTAAGAAATTAAGCATGCAATAAAATACAAAATACAAGTACCACTACAATTACTAATTACTAGAAAGGTGTGTAAGGATTAGTAATTTAATAAGAGGAAGAGAATTAGTGGAGGATATAATATGGTAGAGGGAATTATAATCCGAGCATAAGACCCTAAACGGTTCATGCAAGGAATAATTCGATCTACAAAGTGGAAGGA